ACTGAAGTCCACTTTATTATCCCATGTAACTAGTGATAGTATAGAACTGAAGTCCACTTTATTATCCCATGTAACTAGTGATAGTATAGAACTGAAGTCCACTTTATTATCCCATGTAACTAGTGATAATATAGAACTTAAGTCCACTTTATTATCCCATGTAACTAGTGATAGTATAGAACAGTTTGCTTATTTGCAAGTTGCATCAGAGCTGCTACTTAAAAATAAGTCTAAGCTATACAGACTAACTGGTGTTGGAAGATCTATTCTTTGAGTTATTTGTTTTAGGAATGCAACTTGCAATTGATAAAATCATTATGTAGTTTCATGTGATGCTACAGTACGTTTGGATTTCACATGTATTTACTACCAAGCTGAACATGGTGTTTTATAAAATATTCATACCTATATATATAGAACAGGGTTTATGTGTTGCTAATTTTTGCAACCCTTGCCTTTGAAAACACTTTCAATGAAGTTGGTTAATATTGAACCACACTTACGTCTAATGTTGACTGGTAACTGAATTACCTGAGGTAAAAGTGCAGTATCACAACACTGTAAGATAAATAACAAGTACAAATAATCAAAACATGTAACTATATACGTACGTAATTAAATGTTTTTCTGTTGGAGGATGGATGATTTTACAAAGTCACACAGTTCTTGTCCTTGAAGTATGTAATTTACTAGAATTATATGATCTAGACAATAGTAATATAATTAATGACTGCAGTAATGTGTTTTAGTATAATTAGATAACAATGAAATTTTTTTAACTTGTAAACAAATTAATGAAATAGATATGTTGTTAATCAAAAACTTGCTTGGTACTGCAAGCAGACCAAAATTTGAAAATCATGGAATATATAATCTTGTTAATAGGCTAGACAGTAATAAAATTTGTTCCAGTTGTGTTTTGTGTGAGCACACTTCTGGTAAAACCAAACTTGTACTCTCTCTCTGTAGTTCACCTGATTATTAACAATTACGAGCAATATTTCGATGAACGTATAGCCATTGTTAAACTTCTTGTAAGCAATGTCTGTGATTTTTATGATTTCTAGAATTGTATCTTTTTAGAACACCTTGTATTTTAATGAAAAGCCGTTTTCAATCTTCTCACAGTCTTTCTTAACTACTACGTATAGAATTTAAGAACTTTTATGCAGGAATAATTAAGTAATAATTCGTATAATTTGACTGTTGTTCCAGCAAGTTTTTAAACTTCATTGTGTGATAGTTATAATTGAAGAAATCACTTAAGGAAATTGTCAAATAATGGTTCAGTTTTTTCACATGCTTATGTCACAGTTTGATTGAAACATCGTGTATTTTCTATCTGTAGAATCCAAGGACAGCTCTCTCCTAATGACTGATATCCAATCTCCAGAGAGGTGAGAGATTTTTAGTAAGAATTTTCATACTAAATTCAAATATAAATGTCGTATTTATTAATCAATTTTTGTTAATCAATCGGGATAATATAAAAATGTAATTCTGTTTTTTTATAAACGGTATGTTTGTAACAATAGTTTTTTGATCTAGCATGTGTTCCTAGTCTTTGTAGTTTAGCGTACAATGAAATAAATAATTCAGTTTCTTACGATCTAACGTAAGGAAGTAAGTTTTAATGCAGTAGTTTTGAAACATTAACTGTTTTTATTAAAACGGGATGTAAAATCTTTTGTCCCTCATTAAAAGTTAAGTTTGACTTCTATGTTGTATTTAGTTATGACTTATAGTTGCATGTCCTACTGAACAGTTAATACATTCTTATCTTTTTAGTTTTTTCAAAATACGGTTGTTTAATACTTCTTTTCAGAAACTCTTCTACTATCCCCTATTACAAAAGTTGTCCTTTCTTCTCTCCTAAGTGGCTGGAAGAATTGTAAGTGATTTTCAATTAACATATTTGTGTTTCATGCATACGTTACTCAAAATTAGAAAGAAAAAAAAACATTGAAAGTGCATTGCTTTTATACAATTTTTTTTTTTCAAACTTTTGATACAAAATAAATATATTTCTCAAGGACAGTTTCACTATAAGGTTTCATAAAACATTTACAAAAACGAGTGCCATTCTGGGGGCTCAGTGGCGAATGATGGCTTGTAATACTAAAAAAATTGGGTTTCAATACCTGCAGTGGACAAATTACAGATAACCCATTTTGTAGCTTTGTGCCTATCAACAACCAAACAAAAACGAATACTACACATGTGTAAAGTAGTTGATAGATGCATGCGATATAAAATATTAGGTAGTAGTTGTTGTTTTTTTTGTAGGAATTGGAATACATAATGTGGATAAATGACCTTTATTTAATTCAACACTAAATAATTGGTATAACACCGTAATCTTATTGTATTTGTATTCTACTCGCTACTGTACAAAAATTTATAGTAACAATTCCAAATACAATTGTATTCCAGAAAATGTTCCTTGTCGAGCAAATCTAAGGAACGAGAAGATTTTCTTTTAGCCAAAGAGAGAAAGCTCCAGGCACTACAAGAACAGGTATTTTTATATTGTTTCTATCCTAGGTATTTGCTGGTGTTTACATAATTTCAGTTAGCTCTTGTTGCTCTGCTTATGGTACGTGTTATACTTCGATTGCCAGCAGCCGTTTTTTTCCCCATCGTGACTTGTTAGTTGTATGGTTTCTCATTAAGACTATATATAAATAACATGTCTTGATACGTAATTAACAGTGATTAATATTTAACCCAAGGTAACTATTGATAAGACGTCAGATAACAATTCTAGCACCCATGTCTTTGTGTAGTTTATTAGGTATCTTTTTATCAGTATATCTTCTCCAAACTCATTATCTGTGTAACCCTTTAAGTAGTACTATCAATTTCTGAAATTCAAAATATTAAATCTTCCTACGTTAGAAGTATTTTACAAGGAGTGTAACCATGTAACTAAAGGAGTGTAACCATGTAACTAAAGGAGTGTAACCATGTAACTAAAGGAGTGTAACCATGTAAATAAAGGAGTGTAACCATGTAAATAAAGGAGTGTAACCATGTAAATAAGGGAGTGTAACCATGTAACTAAAGGAGTGTAACCATGTAAATAAAGGAGTGTAACCATGTAACTAAAGGATAACTGTTTAAGATAATTGTCCTTACTCGCCACCAGTTTGACTATTTGAAAAAAAAATATCATTAACGGAAAAAAGTGATGAAAATGTAATATTACATCTTGCTTTAGATGTTTAAGAAAATAATTTTACAGAAAAAATATAAATCTGAGTAATATACGTATTTAAAACTGATATTTTTTGCATCATTTATTTTATGTCTTAGAGAGAAAAATAATTTACTTGTTTATAAATAAAAATTGTAAACTGTTTTTGTTAATCATACAGAGGGAAGCAGAAAATGCAGCTTGGGAAGAGAGGGTAGGTTTCCTTATAATTTTCCCTAGTTCAGTATGAATATACAATAAACCTGTATTTTATAGTACAGCGTGCATAATCTTTGGCAACTGGTAGTTTTTTTGCTGAACATAATTTTAAAAAAATATTATAATTAATTTTAATAGAGCAATAAAAAAAATTTTCTTCTTGACTTTTTTTTAGTATATATATATCTTTATGTCTGTTAACGTTTTTTACAAACTAGCTGATTTTTCATATTTAACCGTATAAAAAACAGTGTTCAATAGAGATATTATCATTTAGACAAAAACAAAGCAAATAAAAACTGTCATTGTTTTATGTATTTTTTAACCATAACCTTATAATATACCCTATTGAAGGGTTGTTTAGCAACTAAAAAGTTCTTTGTTGACACGTATTTGATAATAATACTTTGTCAAGTATAATACAATAATAGTTTGTAGAAGTGGTGTTCTTCAAACCAATCAAATATAGCTAGATTGTTAACTAAGGTTTTGAAGTGATATTACAAATACTTTTTGTAGCTGAAGAAAAAATTGGAGCAGGCCCATATCGCAGCACAAGAAAACTGTGAAGAGGAGGAAGACATTAGCAAAGATTTTCCTGGTGTGTGGTAATTTAATTCTTCCCTTTACTAAAACAAAACTGTTTTATTGATATTCTTGTAAGAGATATTTCACAAAGAGCCTGTTTGATTGTGTAAGAGGACTTTTGAAGTAGTAACGATTCATTCAAATTTAAAGACAGGCCTGATTGTTGTCATTATTTAAGAACGAAATTTCACACTGCAAGGTCTTTGATTTCTGAATTCACTTTTCGGTTATACATTCGTTTCTTTATTTATACCCGTATTTCTTTTTTACAATGTTTAAAAGAAGGTGGATACAAAGAACCAATGTTGCAATAAAAGTATCACATTTTCAAGTAGGGAAATACATTATTAACGTTATTTTCAAATAGCCAGCTCTTTTTAATATAAGGAATAAGTTGTAGTTTCACAGTTTTATGATTTACGTGTTTCTAGAATAGTAGTTTGGTAAGGTAATAGATAAAATTGATATGTTACAGAGCTTACTGATGAAATGGAGAGGCTTGTGGAGGATGCATTAGAACCAGTTCCTCCTGATGAAGTGCTTGTTGAAGGTTTCCGGTTATCTATTACCAGAAGAGATATGGAAACATTAGCAGGACTTAATTGGTTAAATGATGAGGTAATTTTATAACACATTGTCACTTTGGTTCAGTTGGTTAAATGATGAGGTAATTTTATAACACATTGTCACTTTGGTTCAGTTGGTTAAATGATGAGGTAATTTTATAACACATTGTCACTTTGGTT